GAAAGAATGAGATACAACAATTCCAGGCACGAGTGAGTTTACTAACAGAGATTAGATTAAAAGAAAACTTAGGTAGATTTAAGACATTGAACAATGAAATTGATGGAGTTGGATTAATAGTTCCAGAACCAAGAACACAAGAGGTTGATCCATCAGCTAAAGTAATACTAGAGGAGGTTGTATGTGATTGGAAAGTGGAAAATAGCTTCGAATTACCTGTCATATGATCTAAGGCACCATTATTAATGACCCATTTGGATGATGAGGAAATAAGACATGTAGTGGAGTTACCTAACTTAGCGATAGCCGTGATAAGAGAAGTAGTGGATTTAATGATTCTTGGTACTACGAGAATTGAGCAAATTCATCTGCAGAAACTAAAATAGTCTTATCAGAAGATGAAGTATTAAAAGTTGCAACATTTGTTGATTGGCCTCGCTAAGACTTATTTTGGAGTTTTTTACCAAAATGCTTTGTATGGCCCGACTCATGACAATAATGGCACACAAGTCCTCCTAACTCTTAACTACGACTATCAACATCTCGGTTACGATTGCTCGTTCCCCTTCCTCTGTTACCATTTTTATTATTTTGACAACTTACAAGAACACTGTTATTAGTCTGAGCCAACGTGAAGCTAGAGCTTTCTGTACGTAGTACTTTTGTAATGGTGCCATGTAGAGAGGAGATCTCAGAACCAAAAAGAATCTGAGATTTGATAGTCTCAAGCTCTAAAGGGAGACCCGCAAGAAAACTCATAACCACTATTTGCTCCCGTTGAGCCTGTTGAACCTTCACATTAGGACTAAAAGGCAACAGAACATTAAGCTTTTCATAAATTCTTTTAAAATCCATAAAATAGGCTGTGAGAGACCTATCTTGTATCTCTGCACGATAAAATGCTTTACATACCTCATAAATACGAGAAATATTTCTTTTACCAGAATATAAAAAATCTAAATAATCTATCAACTCTTTAACAAACTCACAATGATTAATGAGGCTAATAATCTCACCATTAATGAAATTTCGAATCTGCAGGAATAGCCGTGCATCTTTCCTCATCCAAGTTTGCCTTGTATTATCAGTAGGAGGATCATTAATAATATGGTCATCCTTATCAAGGCTTCTTAAATAGACCTGAACTATCTTGCTCTAATCCAAATAATTGAAACCATTAAGTTTATACTCTGTGATCTTTGTCATCACAGGAATCACACCAGCCACTACCATTGATTTTTCCTCTGGTACAGACTCTGTCATCTTGAAAACCCAATAGCAAAACCCAACAAGAATATCAAACTATCTTGTTGAAATCTTCTGACATAAAGATTAGAAGAGAAGATCGGAGTGAATCTCTGACAGATGGCTAGGACCAGAAACCAAAAGCGGCATGTGACAGCCACTCGTGGAGACTTTAGTGGCAAGGTTTTAGGAAGAAGCCGATTAGCAGGTGAGTCTCCTCCTAGTGCTGACTGTGGGATCAGATTGTTACCCTATATGGGTGACTTAGGTTTAGGTGTAAAAGAAAAACTAAGAACTTTGTTTCAAAGGAAATAGATCTACTACCAAAACAGCTCTGATACCATGTTATTTAGGAAAAGAAAACTCTGTTATTTAGGAAAAGAAAACTCTACATCTTTCATTCATAATACATAACTTATATATACAGCCTACACATCTCTAAAATAGGAAAAGAATAAAAAAATAAAGAAAATAAAATCTCTATAATTATGGTGATTTCTAATTTCTATAATTACGTTTATTAATAAAAGAATATTTATATATTCTTATTCTATAAATTACAAGTAATGTAATTGCAAGAAAAATAGCATTACAGTGTTTGGTATACAAGTAAAATAATAATTAAAATATAAGAAAGATAACATTGTAACGTTTGATTTACAAGTATTTTGTTGGAAATGTAGTGTTAATTTTCAAAATTGTCTCTATTTATTAAAATGCAAGTTTAATATACTTGTATTTTTTATTTTTTATTTTTATATAATATCATCTCTTAAATATATTTTAATATCATATATTTTAATTTACTTTAATTTTTTATTCTTATATTATATATTTTATTTTAAAGTTTTTTATTTTAATTATAACATTGCAAAATGTTTTTAATAAAGTAAAAAAGTTTAAGGGTAAAAAAGTCTGTAATAACATTACAGAGTGTAATGTAATGTGATTGCATTGGTTTTAGATTGCAATCACATTACAGCTAGAGGATGTAATGTGATTGCATTGCAATCTTATATTGTAGTAGTCTGTTACAAAACAAACATTGCAATGTAATTTAATTGGGCACATTGCAAGGAATGTGCTCTCACTTTCCTTGTACCAAACGCTATTAAACAGCAAACTCACCGTAAGCCAAGTAATGCTGCCAATGACGAATAGTCCTTACCAAAGCGTAGAACTCTAGGTCATAAGTTGAATAACGTTGTCTAGGGTCCATCAACTTCTCACTAAAAAAACTCTACAAGCCTTTGATCTTGACGAAGAACTACTCCAATTCCTTGTGCAGGATGCTCATCAATTTCCCCCATCTTTTCATCATATTCATCATAAACTGGTTCTAACTCTTCCCACTACAAACAATCCTCCGCATGTAACTTCCATCATTTAAATCAAAGACGTGTAGTAATCGGCCTTCCAATCCAACTCTTGCTACTTGATTTGTGGGTCTATTTTCATGAAAGGGGTTTTTGTTCTCAAATTCATCGTCATCCTCAAGATGTTGAATCTCAAAAGGGTTGTGGTCACCTTCTGGATTCTCCATTTGGGCTTCCACCAGTTCCTAACGTTGCAACGTTTGCACAACCTAGGTCAAGTCATCAATAATTCTCCACATTTCAGCCAACTCAATTTGTTGGGGCTGGTTATCTCTACCTCGACCTCTATCTTGGCCAACCATAGGCTCTTAGCTAAAAATCCTTGTAGGATAGTAGGATAGTAGGATAGTTTGCTGTGATACCACTTTGGTGTAGCAGAAAGGTTTAGGGTGATTAGAACTCAACAATTAGGGCTTGACTAGGTTGAGTATGCTTGGAACAACAAAAAGATAATAGGTTTTAAAGAAACCTCTTGAAAAAAATTCAAAATAAACAAAATAACAATAATAATAATAATGATAAGTCCTCTATCAAGGATCACCTATATATATTAGCTAAAATAAATCCTAATCAAATAGTAATCCTAATGATAAATAAAGGCTTAAAATACTAAATTCCTAATAAAGATAAGAAATGAATTCCAAACTAAATAGAATAAAGAAAAAAAAATCTTAAACCAACTAAAATACCAAATAAATAGAATTTTGGATGCACTTACATCACACACCAATAGTGTCCTCGTCCAATCAATTTCCTAAAACAATTCCAATGATTTCTCTGGACTTGTTGTCAATGGAAGATGTGTTTTTCCTCATATCTAATATATAGACATGGTGAAAATTATCATGGGTTTGGTTAAGAGATATAGGGGCACTGATATGTCATTGTATTTCAAATTTTTCCCAGATCTAGCGTCTAAAAATCTGGACATGTTCTCATTCATGATATGAAATGCTGCAGATATGAATGTCATACATTAAAATTTCTGGTCTCATTAAGAAAGTGCGTGTGCGGCCTTGTTAAGTCATATTTCTTTTAAGGTGATCAAAATATATCCTTCTAAGGGACACGAATGTTGGTGTTCAGTGGAGTTGTCCCAATTTTCCTTTGCTTTGACATTGAAGTATACTTAAGAAGCCTTTCCTGGTGAAATTAGTACTCCAGCATTTTATGGCGATAGCTTTTTTGAAACATATTTTCCCAACATTTTGGGGTTTGGTAGGAGGTACGAAGAGAGAAGTTGAAAGGTATACGTTTTGTTTCTTGCTTGTCCTTGTTTCCAGTTGTGTATTTTGTGTGAAACTGGATACTTCTCAGCAATTGTTGGAAACTGTGATTCTGAAAGAATAAACTACCATGCTCAGACCAGAGCTAGGTAGAATTGCAACCAATACAACATAGACAAGACTAATAATTTTGGTTGAGAGGCAAATGTGATATCAACAATCATGCCATGCATGGAAAGACAATTTAGGTTGTTAATCCTCTGACATTATTTCCAGTATGAGGATGCATTTGCTGCTAATCTAAATGTACATCTGAAATTCTTGAGAAAATAGGAAAGATAGGATAAAACAGAAGGAAGAGACAGAATCCTAGTGCACAAGGTTCCTTAGAAGTCACACTTATCATGGTTGATTGCATCACACAATCATAACCACACTTAGTTGTTTTCCATCAAGCTATGTTTGAAGGATACAAAAAGTAAAGAGATCAAATCTTGCAAGAAGGATGCATCAGAAGGACATCGTGGGCAGTAATAATAGAGACACTGTCTTTGGTGTTACTTGGGAAACTATATTTTTGTGCAGCACTAAAGGGCTATATTATGTATGTGTACCTACATATATTGAAAGTGTACTGATAAATCCTCTGTGCAGATTCATTTTGCAATTCTATATTTTTATTTCCTTTATGATTGACAGGTCCTGCTTTATTTTAGTTTAATGCTTATAGAAGAAAGCATATTGATTTAGCAGGTGGAAACCTCAAAAAGCCTTGTTCCATACATTGTTTATCAGAAAGCTTTATGTACACCTCTTCCTAACATATACAGAATCAGCATTTTCAAAAATATGATCCTTGTTTTAGCTAAAACATCAGTCTAAAATACTGTCATATATGTCTCAGGTAAGTGTTCATGCTCTATGTTTATAAATAACTTCGTTCTCTCTTAGTAAAGCAATCTATTAACGTCTTTACAATTGATTAGCGTTTGCATCATGGTGGTCCAGCTTATCAGCTGAGGAGTGCTCAGACAATTGAAAATGGCAGGACACTTTGATTCTAGAGTTCTTTATTTTTCTGGATTTTATTTGTTAGCCTGACAGTTTGGTCGAATGTGAAGTACTGATAGAGAGATAGGTGCTCCTTTTGTAGGGGGTGCGCAGAGAAGTAGGAAATCATGCAAAAGCTCTAAATACAGTGTTACCCAAGAGACAGGTTACCTCAGTTGTCTCCAAAAATAGAGATGATTTGATTGTTTCTCGAGACGAAAGCACAGCCACCTTAAATGTTGAGAGACTTGGTTCTCTCGTAATTACATCAAACGAAGAAGTAAGTCAAACTAATGAGGCAGTGGCATCTTCTGAGTTAGCAGCAGATGATGAAGGTTCAGAAAGTAATGCCTGTAACCCATTAATCCCATTAAAAGAATCAATTGGACACACAGAAGTTGAAGTTGTAGCAGGGGCATTGTTAGGTTTCCTTGTAAGCTTGGCAGTGTATTCGATAATGTGATCTTTTATTATGTATTGAACCTTATTTTTTATTCTTTTAACAAGTTCATTGCCAAATTGGGTTTTCCAAATTAGCCATAAAAGAGTGGGGATACATCACCTATATAAAGTTGTGTCCAAGACATGAGTTATCATTTGATGAAACTGCATACAAATTAAATAGAAGCTTGTCCTTCTCTTTTTCCCTTCCCAAGCCAACTTGTTTAGCCATTTCTCAAAACGTTCTGTTCGTCGCTACTGATGGATGACACATGATGGGTACTTGTGTGTATTTGCAAGCCAACGTAAAAGAGAAATTAAACATGATCAGTGACCAAAAAAAGTTAAACTTGGATGAAAAAAATTTATATAAAAACTACCCAAATATATTCAATCACGTGTTAAGTACAAAATAAAGATTTTTTTTTAATAATTATTTTATGTTAAGATTTGACATCTTTAATTGAACTTGACTGTCTTTCATAGAGTTGAAAATATCATTAAATCAATGTTGAAATCTTGAATAATTTTTTTTTCAATCAAAATGATCAAGGAATTTTTAAGAAAATCATTTAACATTTCACAACGGAATACATTCTTAACAAGTTTCATAATAGAAAATGCACGCTCTGATGTTGTAACTAGAAGAGTCAAGATAAGTAGAAAATTAGTTTTTGACTAATTATAGTGGGGGCATTTCACCAAACAAAAAAATTATTATAGGGTAAAACTATGAAATTTTATAAAAGTTAAAGATATATTTTAAAATTTTAAAACTTTTAGGGAGATGGACCCTTACTAGCCCCATTCCCTTTGCCATTGAACGTGATCATGCCATTATAGTGGGTACAGCTGATCAAAAATTTTGTTGATCAGTCTAAACCTTAATTCGACTCAATTCAAACTCGAAAAATTTATTAGATTTACCTATTCCAATTCAATCCAATTTGATTAGAAAATGTTAACAATTTGAACCCGTTCAACTTGATCCAAACTGATTCGTATTCAAATCGATTAAAATCTTTATCAACTTACATTCTTATTGAATTCAAAATGATTTAAACCTGAATTGATCCAAACACAAACAACCCAAAACTAACTCAAAATGGTCTAAATTCAATATTACAATTTGTTTATCTTTTAAATATTAATTAGATTACAACTAATCAATATAACACAAACTATTATTCTATTAATAATTTAAAGAGACAATAAAAATTTTAAATCTCTCTATACTCTCTTAGTTCGAAATTGAATATCCATATATGTTTTTCGAGCTGTTCCAAAATTATGTCCACTTATCATCTTTGAACACCTACAACTCTTTCTTTTAATGTTTCATATTAATTTTTCATAATTTTTTAACTTTTTTATTTTAAAAATTGTAGTTTATAAATGTCATACTTTTTTTAAAAAAAACTTAAAACAGTCTAGATATTTTACTTAATTTTCATACAAGTCAAACATAAACATCTAAAATAGAATGGAGATATGTTATTAATATAAACTATTAGTCTATGAGTAACTAAAGAAGATAATAAAAATATAAAAAAAATTTTTTAAATTTTCATTCAAGTCAAATGTAAACATCTAATATAGAATGAAGAGATATTATATTATATAAACTATTAGTCAATGAATAACTTAAGAAAGATAACGAAAATGTAAAATCTCTATTTCTTTTTTTAAAAAACAATCAAATCTAGAGATATATTACAATGGGAAACTATGAATTTGAATAACTTAATTAAAGTTAATAAATTTCACTCGACCATAATCATCTATCCAAATTCAACCCGATTTGACATCAAAAGTCATCAATTTGAATTGGAAAACACTAAACCCGAATGACTTGAACATTAAGCTCAAGATGACCTAAATCTGATGTAAAGCTAAAATAATTCAAACTAAAAGTGATATGAATCCGAAACAACCCAAACTCAAAAATAACTTGACCTTGACCCATCCTATTCTACATGCCATGCTTTGATTATCATAGAAAGAAGAAGCAAAGCATTGCAAAGGTTGACCTTTATGTAGTATCATTGCATATCCATCAAACTCGAGCTAGATTAATGGGCTTAGCGACTCGACCTATGAATCGCATCGGTTTTTGTATTGGACCAATATGTGATTAATCTGCTCAAAACTTATTTTGACATTTAAGTGGCTTTCATTTAATGCTATGTTGTTGTTTTAAAAAAAAAATTCAAGGAAGGGATATGCGAATTCGCTCCTTGAGCAAGGAAATACAAGCACTTTTTTTTTTTTTCATAATATGCAAATAAACCCCTAAACTATATCAAGAAAGTCAATTTAACCTTTATCCTTTTATTGCGTTCAAATAAACCCATAAACTTTTATTTTGGGTTAAATAACCCTCCCACACTAATCGTTGACTAACAGAAGTTATTCAATGCCATGTCATCTTCCACATGGCATGTTGACGTGTTATCTTAATGATATTAATGTCACGTGGTATCAAAAATTGTTGACTAGGAATTAGGATTTTCCTTATTACCCATCCAAATGTCCAAAAATTATTAATTAGGGATTTGAAACAAAAAATTAAAAAAAAAAGGCTAATTACTTCAAATTGATTACCATTGTTTCTTAACTTATTACCATTTTCTTAATTGAAGTCCTCTTTCCATAAAAAAAGAAAAAGAAAACTTCACTTACTTGAACATTCCCTAAACCCAATGTACCTTTATAATCATAATATCCTCTCCTTATTTGCAAATTCCTATTCCTATTCTAAAATTCATTCTTTGAGTAGTCTTGGATTTTCAAAAATTGTGAAAGGTGTGAGAAGAAAATCTATTATTATTAGTAAATAAATTCAACACCATCAAATTTCCCTTATAGATTTTAAGGAAAAAAATAGCATCGAATTTCCCTTACAGATTCTAAGGAAGAAAAGAAAAGGATTTGACCTTCGTTTTACAAATTCTACAGAAGATAAGAGCATCAAATTTTCCTTACAAATTCTAGAGAAAAAAAGAGAATGATTTGACTTTCTTTTATTGTGAAACAACATTGCGTGTCTTTGCTAGTTTCAGTATTATAAACATTATGTGTCCTACCTTTACTTTTCCTTTTCTCAAAATCGTTTCTAGGCATTCTCAAATTTCTCTACACCAACTTTTAATCAGGCAACAATGGCATCAATCAAACTAGAAAAGTTGGATTAGGTTCTTTTTTTGTTAGGATGGATTCGATTAAAAAGATCGTAATCAGTTAGGAAACGATGATAATCAATTTGAAATAAACAGATTTTTTTTTAAGTTTATGTTTCAAATCCCTAACTAATAATTTTTGGACATTTGGAAAGGAAAAAACCCAATTCTTAGTCACTAATTTTTGGTGCCACATGGCATTGATATCATTAAGATGACACGTCAACATGCCACATGGTAGATAACGTGACATTAAAAATTGCTAATTGTATTGGCTAATGGAAGTTAGTCAATAGTTAGTGAGATGGGGTTATTTGCAATAGTTAGTAAGAGGGGTTTATTGGTCCAAAATAAAAGTTCAGAGACTTATTTGAATATAATAAAAAGATAAAGGCTAAATTGACTTTTTTGATATAGTTTAGGGGCTTATTTGAGTATTTGACCTTTTTTTGAATGGCAAGAAATTCTGTATTAATAAGTCAAGTTACAAGCAAGTAAACTTCTCAATCATCTAAACATAGAAAACAAGAAGAGAACCACAATAGATTCCCACCAAAAAAAAAAGTCAATAGCAAAAACACACAAAGTTAGGCTAAAAAAATACAGAAGCAAAATAGACTAGTAAATGCACCATCAACAGGTCAACATAGCATTAGCAAAACAGAAGCAAAAGAATTTAGAAATTAGATGACAATAGAACCAGAACAAAAGCATGCGCAACATGCCGAGAGACATAATCCTTGAATATGTAAATGAGATCAAACAATAAAGCACAGATTAGCAGTAGACACGAAGAAGATCATTTAAATGGTTAACACTTGTCGTAGCTAACCGATCAACAAGATTATTGGCAAATCTTGGAATGTAAACAATAAACCAATTTCAAGATTTTTTCTTCATGTTGTTAATAAAGTTCATGGTATTTCTCATTTGCTAAGGAACAAAAGAAAGGTTATTGACCCACATGACAACATTAAAGGAGTTAGACTTGATAATCAACTTATGAGTGTGTTATTAGTATGATCCCTGCAAGCCAATCTTTGATCATATGAGAATTATATTTTGAGTTATTCATGCATGACATTTTATTAATTTATGATAATTAGGAGGTAGTTCTTTTATCTATAAGTTTGTGATTTAATTACCTTTTGTACTTATATAGATAAAGCTCATGGAACTATATATGCATTGCAAAAGAATTGTATTGAGATACAATTATGAGATCTTTATGCATCAAAGCATTGTTCCTAAAAGTTTTTGATTATTGTATTATTGAGATGGGCATCAATAATGCTTAAAGATCGGCACATGTTATGTTCCTTGCTTGTGAAGTAAGCAATCACTCTCATAGGTTGAAGTATAGAGATACTTGAAACTAACATATGGGTGCTTGCCATGGGACAGCAAGTTCATTGAATATGACCCACCATGAAAAGTGCATTTGCACTTCACTCAAGTGTCTATGCAATATTTCTCATGTATTAGTTGTGTAACTACTCCCTAAACTTAAGACACCATATTGTCTTGTATGTGAAGTACTATATTTTGATTTCAACCCTACGGATGCCTAACCAAAAATGCCAAAACAAGATATTTTTAGGTATAATATGAAACATATGATGGCAAATGAGTGGTCAAGATAAGAATTATCTATCCAAGTGATTCAAGAGGAAACATCTCATTAGTTTTTGATTGACATTAGCTTAATCAAATCCTTAACCAAGGTAATTAGGAGATTATGAAATGAGTTTCATAAGTCTCCATAAAACTAACGATCTAATTGCAAGAACAAATGTGGAGGTCAATAAGAGTAGGCATTGCACCATTATCTCAATTTGATTGTTTTAGTCCCTTTATTCCATTTGCAATGATTTTAATATCTA